TTCTATTCCTTCTGTAGACTGTCGATGGATTTGCCCAGCGGACTGACGTCATCGCTGAGCGAGCCGTGTACGGTTTGTCCTCAGACGAAGTTCCGCGACGTGACAGGAGACGATTTAACTGTAACAGTTGTGAGCCGGCGTGATAAACAAACGCGACAAAACAGCTGTGAATCACTTGTCTATTTGAACGCCTTCAAATAGGCAAGGCGCTTTTTGACTGTTGATACATGCTTGTTTGGATTTAATTAAAACTGAATGAAAATCATCATCTGCAATAAATCTCTTGTCAACTGTCCAGTTGACAAAAATTTGACCGGCACCGCCGGTCTTGTCCAGTTAACAAACCGCCCCTGAGAACAATCACTGTGGCAGCTGATCACACTTGTCATTGAAAGAAAAATCAAACTGCAGTCAAGCACAGATAACACAAACACAGAATACTCGAAATCACGAATAACTCGTACAATTCACTATTTCCTGACTGATTCTCTTGAATTTTTTGTAACTCATAATATGCCACAATAACAACATGCAACAACTTCAACAAACATATTTTCTATGTTGAAGAAAAAAACAAAAAGAAGGTTAGTTCATTTCTTGACATAAAGAGAAGGATGAAGGATCAAAGACATTCATGCTTTTGCTGATCCTTGGAAATTAATCAAACAACTCAAAGACAAAAAAAGTTTACTTCACTTTCTCCCATAGAAAAAAAAATGAAAAACAAAAAACATTTGTACCTCTACCGAAGCACGGGGTTGAATTGTGCCACTAACAATCCTTGCTGCATCGCCAAACTGACCAGTTGATGATTCCAAATAAAGGTAATAGCCATCTGAAAAATAGTATTTGACACGATGAATACCCCCGAAACCAAATCACCATCGCAATAAAGAAATCATTTTGTATTTTTACTTTTTTACTTACACATGACAAAAGGAAACAGGAAAGGTAAGTATCTCAAAAACACATTGTTTTAGCTACTAGAGGGCACCCATATAGCTAAGGACAAAGGCAGTGTTATCGGGAGGGGAGGGGGGGGTGTTCCTATAAATTAGATACTGTATTTTATGAGACACAACATAGTGCAATCAGGCGCTCGTCAATTTTTGAACATGTAGAGTTATTGATACCAACTTAAAGCTTGTTCATATGACTTGATTTTAAAGAAAAAACACCCATCTATCTTGAACAAAGGTAGAGATATTTTCCACGGAAGAAGGTTGGAGTGGCCTGGTTTCAGAAGTAAAATTAGCTATAAAAAATAGTCGCCAAAGGGTGATGACTGCCATAGCTTGAGGGTTCTTGGAAACTGAAATGTATATTTGTTATGCTTTTCAATCAATGCTTTTCAGTAAAATCCACACAGAAATGGGTTTTTTAATGGACATTAAAGGTGTTTAGACCAAAAAAACAATAATTTGATAAACCTTGTCAGCCAAGCACAAAAATGTCGGTTTCTCTGATTTCATTATTTTGACGAGCACCAGATTCCACCACAGTGCGACACATATTTGTAAGCACTGATCTGAAAAAAAGCTGATATCAATTACAGCCAACTGGCTACGAATGATCTTTAGAAATGTTTTGTTATATTGGAATAAATCAAAACAAAAAAATATGCCATAACTCCTTATTACCTCACCAAAACTGTTCATTTATAATTTGTAAAAAAGATCAACAGTTCAGAAAGGCTCAGAACTCTATAGCCAAATATAAAAAGGCATGAAAATCCTTGATGTTGTTGAGAATGATGATGATGATGATGGTGATACGGTGATGGTGATGGTGATGGTGATGGTGATGGTGATGATGGTACTTCTACTTCAACTACAACTACTACTGCTACTGCTACTACAACTGCTGCTGTTGCTGCTAATACTTCTACTACTAATTATTCTTACAATAATGATAATTCTTATTATTATAATGATATGATGTTACATGTACATAATATTATATTGATACTATAACTAACTATAGCTTTTCTTCTTTTTTTTGGGGGGGGGTCTTTCTGCTATATTTTTGTCACACGCACCATTGCTCATCATGCTACGAGAGAACATATAGTTTGTTTCCATAGTGTTGTTACTGTTTTTTAACCTGTTCCTGAAGAAACCCATAAGGGCAAGACATTGAATATATTTCAAAATGTCATAAAACTTCAAATATTCAAAAGTTAATCAACTTTTGGTGTGGGGGGGGGGGGTGTTCTTATCGTACTTACAACAATGATGATGATGATGATGATGCGCGCGCTTTTGTTGCTATAGCTTGTAGTCATTACATCTTAGCCTACATTATTTTTTGTATCGTGTTCTTGATGAAGCCCTTTACAGGGCGAAACGTTGAACCTGTATTAAATCTGAAAAAACTACAAAGTGTCAACCCCTTTTTTATTCCCTGCTACTAACAATGATGATGATGATGATGATGATGATGATGATGATGATGATGATGATGATGATGATAATCGGTGATGAAGATAAAATGTAATTCCTCCTTTCATCTATTTTTCCCTTTTTAGAGGCTTAGTATGTTTTGCATATTATGCACATTAGGTATTCCACCATGAATACTCATCCCCAGAGAGAGAGAGAGAGAGAGAGAGAGAGAGAGAGAGAGAGAGAGAGAGAGAGAGAGAGAGAGAGAGAGAGAGAGAGTAGAAGAATTGGTGCAACAAACAGAATGTGATTATGATCATCCATGAATTAGATTTGTTCCCTTACCAGACGGGACGGCCACAACATAGGCCCGGGGGTGGGGGGTGGGGGGTG